GCCGCCCGCCCACCCACGTCGCGGTAAATTCTCCCGCAGCTCGCGAGGGTGGTAGCCGCTCCGACACACCCCTTCCGCCTCGGCTCTCCGGATAATTGTTACTTCTAACCCACGGACTGGTCCGGACCCGGCGCGCCGGCAGTATCCCATCAGGCCAATGAAATCCCAATCGCGTCCGAAGGGGATCAACCGACCCCCTCTTGGGTCGGGACATCCCAATCTCGTCCCTGACATCTCACTCCGACTCTCCAAGATTAAGCGGACCTGGAGGGTCGCGACGGTGTTGTCGATTTGCCGGGTGGCTTCGTTGTTTACCTGCCTCATCGCAGGATCAAGCGACCGAACTTACACGTAACCGGTGCTCGAGTGCTCCTGCTGCGAAGTTTCCACCAATCCGTCCTGCGTCGACGGGGTTCCACAGGATCGCTAAGGTGCGAACCAGAGAAGGGAACCGTCTTGACGGAGGTGCGCCGTAAGGCCAATGAAATCTCGATCACTGAAAGGGGATAAACCACCCCCGGCCCTCGAGGGAATTTTCGCCAACAGAGGGGGCGGCCATCCCCTGTCGCCGCGAGACGTCAAGTACGATCGAGGACTATCTTCGTCTGGGGGTGGAGTCCTCCAATCTCACCCCCAATTTCATCCCCGACATCCACCTTGAGCTCCCGAAGATTAGGCGGGCGCAGCAGGTCGGCGCGGTATTGTCAATTTACCGGCTCGCTTGATTGTTTACCTATTTCCTCGGCAAATCTACCGACTAACGGGGGACGTAATCCTTACGTCCGGAATCGATTTGATTCCCCTTAAAATGTGCCATTAAGCGGAGAAATTTCAAGCGCATGTATTCTTTTATTCGTATTTATTTCGAGATTTAAGGGCGGAACGACATCCCTCGTATATTTCAAACCAAAATTTGGACGAATCTTGAAGTTATTGCTGCAGTTTCCCTTTGACAAGTTTCACCAATCTTGTAACTGGGGTGTAGGTATACTTTGATAATAATGGAATACGGAAACTATAAAATGAACTGCGAGTTATACATGGGTTACATTATTCCATTCCTTTCAGTGTTAAATATGGGTAGCAGTAAATACAGAAAACTGTAACACCGATACAATGAAATTTGTCGCTAACGTCTGGTTTTTTAGACACACACTTATTGACCACCGTCATTATTCATCGTCCTCACCGTCGCCGAGATATCACCAGATCTATGCGCTTCTCGACACCTTCCACCTTCTCATCCGGCCAATCGATAGGACTATCCTCTTCCCAATAGCATTCGGTCCGGCGAGACTCGACCAACCCTATTCGATCGAATCCAATTGATCCTCTGAGGCCACGGAAGGCATTAGGGCTCCGCCACTTAACCACTCTCTAGCGCTCCACTTTTTGCGAGGGTGGAAGACTCCGGAAATCTTTCGACCAAGCGTCACCGAAAACCTCGAAGAAATCCCGAACGAATCGTCCCATTTGGACAGGGTTTGGTCCTGTCGGATCGTCGTCGCTCGGGTCCGCCCTTGTCCGGTAGCTCAGCAGTCCGAGTCTGACAGTGATATCCTGGGTACACACGTGTACCCTGGATAACCACGGTACACCGAGTAAAGTGGCAAATTTGGTAGATGTGGTCGGTTTACTTTAGTCCAGATAGACAGCGTGTACCTAGGATGCGCCTGAAGCATGAAAAATGGAGTGGAAGTATGCTTCAGCAGCAAAACCCACTGACAGGGAATATTTTTAATAACTTTATTAATAACTACAAGATGAGCATTTCGTGCGTATATACGTATTTGGCGGGAGACTCTACCGAGTTTCTTGATGACGCCCAGAAGACAAAGAATCAAAGAGTACTTTACGCATTATCTTTCCTAACTTGTCGATTCCACGTTTGGTTAACTTGTTGGTCTACTGACAAATCGAAGTGTATTACCATCTTACATAAAATCCGAGAAGCCTCGGGAGAGGTTCAATGGTTGCAGTATTCCTTTTATCGGTCATCGTCAATGCTGGAGAAATCGAAAACGAATCATCCTATTCGGGCCCATCGCAACGTCCAGGACTAGGTCCGTCCTTGTTCCATAGTTCAGCATCCGCCATCTGACGCTGATACTCCACGTGCATACATGTACCTTGGATAACCAGGGTGTCCTGGATGGAGCAGGCGGCGGGCGGGCGAGGTCGATGCGGTCGCTTCGCGTTAATTTCGCCAGAGCGAGTCGGTTTCGTGTGTGCTGGAGAGGCCAAAGGCCTATTGCAGGCTTAGTGTCGACCCGCCACGAATTACTCGCGCGATCTCATTACTGCCTGGTTACAAATTACTCGGGCTATCTGGTATGCGAATTCCTTGCCTAATATCCAGATACGTGTGCACTGCAATCGGACCAACAAGATGTCGTGTCAGGTATCGTAAGTGTGCTCACTGTACATAGAGTGGTCACAAGAATCGCGTTGATGCATACGTTCGGATTGACCGATGGATTCAACTTTTCAACCGCAGGTGTTATTCCTACGTACGTCATCAATTTGTGGAACTAGTTGTTTATTAGCAAACATTGCATGTATTACTTTGTCATTGCTCAATTATGTCGAGGACTTTGCAGTTGTTGTATGACTTATAAATGTTAAGTATTAACACTAGACGCTCGGTTCGGTGAAAATTTTTATATTTTGACGCTCCAAAGTCCACTTCCATTTCATCTTAATTAATACGATAGAGAATCGAAAATAGGTTCTTATCGAGATACTGACCGGCAACTACCGGGACGCTCTTATTGGACCCATCTGTAGGCGCTGGTACTTTGAAGGCCTTCAAACGTTAGTTACGTCCTAACTAATTCGATGTAGATGCTATTACACGTCCCACGGTTCCTCAGGAGTGAGCGAAAGTTTCAAAAGGGGCACTGGTACAAGAGGCAAGTCGGGGCCGAGCCAGCAAAACGGGCCAAGGAGAAGTCGAAGAACTCCTGGAAAGGGTTGCACTCCCCGCGTCCAACGCCACCCGGGAACCCCATCTACCCTCGAATTTCTGCCCCTACGTGCGCCGTACGTGCTTCCTCCACGACTGGAACCTTTCTAGTTATTCTCTCCTACCTCCGACCCTTCCAGTAGTTACTAGTGCGATGGTACTACCTTGAGCATCGGCGTCAACAATGGCGCCGACGACTCCTCGTCTAAGGACTCGCCCGGTCTGCGCGAATGCCGCGCTCGACGGTAACTTATGGCTCCCATGGTCCCCGTACATGTCCGCACGTACAAGTACGTGTACGTACTCGACGACGTGTCGAAGGCACTCCCAACCCCCGGAACTAGTTCGACCCCGACAAGCTTGATTGCCGATATCGATCGAGGGATCGCGAGCGCACCACCAGGGAGCTGGCCGTTCGCCGGAAGTTCATCGGGCTCTTCGGCGTCGCGACGCCCGCCCAACGGAAACCCATCAAAGATTCAATCCGCACACGCCTCCAGCTTTTTCTTCGGTCACCCAATGGCCGGCAAATCACTCCGAACAAGACGCATTTCTAGACAAGCGTACCTCGTCCGAAATTGATGCACCTTGCAGTGCACCCATGGCCCAGTGATATATATATATATCAAAAAAATATATATATCGAAAAAATCGTATCGTTGATTATTCAAAAATGTATTATATTTAGTATAAATTTATTCGGTATATCTCAGCTGGACATGAGATGTATTTATATTATTTTCGTAATGATCTTTGTACGTAGGAGAAGATCCGAAAATTATCGGAAGCTGAATAACTAACAAAATATAATTCTCGTTAGGTGCTTTTAATACAATTTCAAGCTGTTTCTATGTCACCGTAATTTGGTATAATTTGATTCAGTGAAAGTAGTGGTACGTTATAGGTAAACGGAATAAAAGTATTCGCAGCATTGAACGCTGTATGTTTAATTGTAGTTGGATTATTAATCCTTTGTATATTGGCCCTAAAACGCCCGGTGGATGGATCGAGGCAGTTAACAGGAGTTTCGGTATTATCGATTTTTTATGTAACGAGGATTATATGCACTGTAAAGGGTGGAGCTTTAAAATTCACCTGTATCGACTTATGAACCCACAAGTGGTGGTGTTAATATTCACTCGACCCTATTCGGAGTACGTACAAGACACTAACTGTTTTAATATCGACGGTTTTTACATTCTGTTACCTCGCAAAGTCATGAAATATTTACTGCCCGGGCGGAAACGTCACACCGTCGAAGGAAAACCCACACGAGAGAAAATTCACAAATCACTCGGAACAACTCGCTACATACACCTTTCTCTTCTTACATTATTTATTCTTTAATTACCCCCGTTAAAAGCAAATCAATTTCGAAGCACAAAACACGTTTCCTCGCAACCAAGAAACGTTTCAAGACCGAAATAGTGAAACATCGACGACAAATATTAAATAGGAGCTTTACAACGTTATATACCCCCGATATTTATTTATAGAAATAGAAAATAAGCGCAATGACGGTAAATAGCATGGCCACTGTCGGCAATACGAAGCCGGGGAGATTCGGGGCGAAGTTTTGGGAAATCCATTCGGTCCGCAGTTCGGACGGAAAATCTCGCGGCCCCCTGCGGACAGAGAGAGGGGTAAATATCGCCGCGTTTGGTTTCTGAAGCATGTGTGGCTCATAAATAACATGTAAATATTTTCAATAACTGCCGAGGCAGCCTCGGCATGAAAAATGCAAACCGCTTCGCGTCCGGCCTCACCGACGCCCCCTGGCGTGGCCCGAGCTCTGCCCTCAACTGTCTTTTAATATATCTGTATACACGGTGTCCCGCGTCAAATTTATGACGCCCCCTGGCCGATATTTGTTTCACTTAAGCGACACTGCTTCGCCGCGCACCCGAACTTTCCTCGTAACAAGCGAAACGCTAGGAAATAAGAGAGGTCGGATATAAGGGATGGCGGATTCGCGGACCGAAGAGGGTCGCCTCTTCCCTTCGGAGATCTCATCGACTTTTCCGCTTTCTTTCAGGGGCTTCGGGTTCATCACATTTGCGGACCCCGCGAGCGTGGACAAAGTTCTGACGCAAGGCACTCACGAATTAGACGGCAAAAAAGTAAGTACTGCACAATTAGTATTGGTACTCTGGCTTCGCGGTTACGTTTATAGGAAGAGGTCCTTTGAGAAGGGGTTAATTGGAGAAAACGGAATTGCGAGTTATTCAGTTAATCCTCTGGCTACGACGAATCAGGCTGAGAAACTGTACTAACTGTCCGGACAGCGAAGGGTGTGAAGGGTGGATGGACGATATTCATCTCTCGCTTTGAATGCATGGCACAGAAGAAGGCCACTGTAGTGATGGTCTGTAAAAAAGTCACTCGTAGCGATTCCTTATAGTGGTACTTTGCTAAATAATCGGCGCACTGCCGTCAAACGCTTTGGAAGGGGAATTTCTAACAATAAGTTGGAATATCTTATTAATAATATTAATTATTCTTTCATGAAATGCCCACACGCATTCGGTACAGGTTGTTTTCGTTTTCTTATGTCACTTTAAAAATCAATAAATAACTGAGAGAACAACGCGCTAACATTAACGAACGCGATTATGCGAATCGTCGGAATGGCAGTACGCAAACATGAATGTAAGTAGAAATTAGTTGTACGGAAGAGAATTAGGATGAGGTGCCAATAATAATGAGCAGGGATTTTCAGTCGATTTCGCTAAGTCGCCGATAGATTCCTTAGACAATTTATTTATTGAAATTAAGTAACGCTAGGGGAAACAATTACGCAAATTACTTTAACACTTGAACACAAGCTTCGTTAATAAAAAAGACGTCGTTCACCGAGATTCATCAGCGAGGCGTTTCGCAATGAAACATCCCTCGATCGATCGAAAGCCACTATAGCAACGCGCTGTAACTAAATAACTAAATTTTTAACTAACGAAGGACACTAACACTAAAGAGCAGTCATCGTCAATCCGAAGACTGGAACCTCCCGATACATAAGCATCGTGGATGGTGACTTAGAGATTTATGATGGGATTTACCCCCGTAAGAGCATTACTTCCGCGTTTGTTTCCAACAAACTCGATCAGCGTCTAACTACGAGTGCAGAAGTTTCGTGCAGAAATCCGATAACCCGCAAATCCGAGTTATAGACCCGGAAAGTCCTGGTTCATCTCGCCCGTTACTGGGGACTCTCGCCGCGGGATAATTAATGGGAACTTTTTAAAGTGCGTTATTCGCCCAAGGTCTCGACGCATCCAATCGGGGTGTAATTTCGGGGCCAGAGATATCGCGGCACCTCGATCCCTTGATCAGGAGAGCGTCGGTGTTGCGACGTCGCCTACAGATAGGAGGCGTCAAGTAGCGATGGGTTTGAAGTGCCGGCGGCCCACTCTGGAGCGTCGCTGCTTTAATTAGCAAACCGCAGCGTCTTTGCGCTAACGAATGCTTAAGATCGGCTCGATGAAACTAGACGTCGGGACAGTGGGACGCCGGTGTCGCCAAGCACTCGCGAGGCCCTCTTGTCGCGCTAAATCTCGAGCGCTCCGAGCGAAGAGCCGCGAAAAGTGTCATCCGCTCTTTGGAGCCGTTCGGAAGCGAAAGAGGGACGTCCTTTCAACCTACCGTGCAATAATCTGCTTTGTAACAGGACATCGATGGAAGAAGGAGAAAGGGGGGGTTGATCTCCTCGAGATGACGGAATGTCCCCTTGTGGGAGTTGGGGCGTTTGATTCGAAATACCGGACGTCTTCTTCGCCGAGTCTCAAGAAATCAGAAAATAGTCTCCGATTCAATTTTATCGCCTCGAGGGGTGACATTTTATATGAATAGTGGTTACTACTTCAGGAATGATATCCCTACCCGGAATTATATTGTTTTAGCTGTTCGCCAAATTCTCCTTCACTTCGAATAACCTAAAACGCTTTCTCTAGTCTTTTATCATATTTCCGTTATATTATCTCAATGTCAATTTAAGATCTACAATTAGAGGTTTTAGAACCTCTGATTTTTACTTTCTTACTTAGGTACGGCGAAAATTTTATTTGGGACAGAGAATCACCCCCGGGTCCGCGGGAAATTTAAATTCGAAGCGGGGAAAGATGAACCGCGCAAGCGCGCGCAGCGGGCTGATCAAGAATAGGCACCGCAGTCGCAACTTCGGCAACTCGCATTAATTACGGTCGATTTGGTCGTTTCTTTACTTAGGTACGGCGAAAATTTCGTTTGAGACAGAGAATAACCCCCGGAGCCGCGCGAAATTTAAATTCTAAGCGAAGAAAGATGAACCGCGCAAGCGCGCGCAGCGGGCTGATCAAGAATGGGGACCGCGGTCGCAACTCCGGCAACTCGCATTAATTACGGTCGATTTGGTCGTTTCTTTACTTAGGTACGGCGAAAATTCCGTTTGAGATAGAGAATCACCCCCGGAGCCGCGCGAAATTTAAATTCGAAGCGAAGAAAGATGAACCGCGCAAGCGCGCGCAGCGGGCTGATCAAGAATGGGGACCGCGGTCGCAACTCCGGCAACTCGGGATCTAACGCGGGCAGGTGCATTAATTACGGTCGATTTGGTCGTTTCCTCCGGCACGCGGTCCATACGCACCTCGTGAACCGATTTCGCGCGAGACCGTGCAAAAAATAAGCAGCCCCGTTCATTCGCGGAATAAATTATTTGAAAAGAGCGAGCCAGGGGTGGCTGCGAAGGGGTAGTGGGCGGTAAAAGAAGAGGGAGGCAGAAGCCACTGAGCCCCACGGAAATTGTCTGCAGCCCCTTACAAAACTCACCCTCCACCCCGCCCGAGCTCCCCGGCCGCGTCCTTTCTTCTTTCCTCTCCTTGCCGAGTGAGTCAACAATACCAGAAGCGTCTATTGTCGAATGCTTTTAAATTTGAAATACAAACCGTCTGCCTTATCCCCCTCCCCTCCCAGGGCACCCCACCATCGCGCGTTGCCGCGACCGTGCCGTTCCCGTATGTCTCTCGAAAGAATTTTTTTTTTCCCGCCCACTCCTATTTCCACCCACCCGACATTTCCCGTGCAGGATGGGGTGCTCGAGGCATCGCCGTCTTACGTCCCGCCCTCTCCGGTTTCCTAAAAAAGCTCGACCAAAAGTCGCATCCCTTTAAGCCGGGAGGGAAAAACCCGCCGCTGCGTAAGCGACGCCGCCCGCCCGGGGGTGGTTCGAGGGTGGCCAGGAAACTTTCGAGGCCCCTCCAAAAGGTCGGCGATTTTTTCCCTCGGCGGGAAATTATTTTTTTGCCCCCTCGAGGTGCGCCGAGCCGTGTTTATGTACGAGCTTTGCTTCGCCGAGGTTCGCGCTGCTCCCGTCCGTTTTGCGCGTGTATTTGTCGTTTCACTTGCGGATTAAATTAATTATTTATTTAATTGACTGACGGCTGGTTTAATCGCTCGTCCGGCTGATGCATTCGATCGGTTGTTTGTGTTTTTTCGGAGGCCCGTCGGTGACCGGCAACGAGTAACCCCCGTCAAACCTGCTGGAGAGAAGCCAGAGCTGACTGGAGTGTGCTTAAAAATAAATGCAACGCGGTTCGGGACGCGCGGATTCCGAATAAACCTTTTTTTCCTCCCAAATCGACGAACTTTTGGAAACTATATGGTATTTCGTAGTTTTTTTCCTGGTTGCAAAATTCCCGAGAAATGGCCGATTTTAGGCACGGATGAGGAGACCCATTTGGCTGCGTTATTGCGTGCAGGGGCGGTGAGGAGGTTATGCCGGAAGTTCCATCGTACGAGTACGTCCGCCTACTTCCGAGCTCGCCCCGGGAAAAGGCGCAAATCGGGGGCAGACGGGTGGAGGGCTCGTTTTTCGGAAGCCGAGCCCCACGTGGAGCGTGAAATCGATGCCGAATCTCCTTTCTCGAATTTACGCCAAGTCAATAGAGGAGAAAGGAACTCCTCGAGACTCGGCCGAAGACTCCCGAGCGGTAGACATGCCTCGGTCCCGCGATAAGCGCGAAAAAGGTCGCCTCCGAGAAGGAAATCGAGGGGTCTATCTCATCCGGGGGATGAAGAGGCAGAGCCGGATACCGGAGGAACCAACCCCCGAGGAGAACACGTTGAATCGGGAGCGGCTCCTTTTTCTCTTCCTGCCGGAAGAGGAAGTAGCTCGCATACCACTCGGACTTCTCGGGATACCCGCCGGATTTGCGGAACTATCTCCACGATGAAATTCCCTAGAACCGCGCCTAGACCGAAACTGACCGCTACTTTCGCCCCAAGAAGAGAAAGCTGGACGTTCACCGCATTTCCAGCGAAGCGTCGTGTGCGCGAAAGAACGCAAAGCAAATACTACCGTTTAGATGGTTATTCCACAAGATTTGTGGTAAATAGAAAAAGGATATATTTGAAATCCGAGGGACTTCAGAGGCGGGCGCAAAATGGCATTCAGCGTAAGGTGAACCATCGTTCACTTTAAATATATTTCGACGAAGACCCCAAGAAAAGGATTTCATCCATGCTACCAAACGACGATTTCCATACGAGCATTTCCTCGTTTCCAAAAATCTCTTCACCAAACGATAAATATTTATTTTACGCTTCCCAAATATGTGATCGTTAACGTCAAAGAGAAATCCCTCGGCACAAGTGAACTGCAGGTTTGACGCAACAGGGAGGCGATTTAACCGGCAAAGTGGTATCGTTGCATCTGGATTACCTCAACACAATCAATTTCCACGTCGGCTCATCCTAAGATTTATGTACATTACCGAAATGCTTATTTCCTTCCAGCGAAAGAGACAATTCCTCAAATTCCACGAGTCTTCTCAACAAACTATGTCTATCTTTCTGGTGTTTATTTCCTGAGTTAACCCTGTCGAAATCCCTTTTTGGGGCTGGGGGCACGTAATACCAATTACCAGCTAGCAACTGCCAATATCTGGCAGCAGAGACGCAATTTGACTGGCAAAGCCAGAATTCCATTTCGTATCCTAAAGATTGTTTTCCACGTGGGCGAGTCCTGTGGCTGGCTCGAGCGAAATGGATCAGCGGCCGCCTAACTAGTAGCTACGAAACTGCTACCCAGGCACCAGCTACAGCCGTCGCATGAAATATAAATAATTAGCATGATGTATAAGCGGCC